GACAGTTGTAGCCATGTTGTAAGGACGACTTATGCAGGTTACATGCGATGGTTGTAGGCAAAGTTGTGCTTCAGGCTTTTGAGTACGGATGCATGGAAAAACGGAATCTCTTTTGTTCAATAATTTACGTTGTAACTACCTTGAGATTGTGACGGCATCGGAATATCAACCTTCAATGGGGCTATAACTTGTGGCTCCCAGGCCCCAGCAAACAATCCATGGAGATGATTAGAAATGTACCTAACATAGAATAGTTGTGCAAAAAGATAAATTTAACACGCCGTAAAAAAGTAGGTGAAATAACTTATTACTGATGTTTCGGACGTTAATTCTTCTCTACCCCAACGAAATATTAACGTCCGAAACGTCAGTAAGTATTTCACCTACTTTTTTACGGTGTTAAATTTATCTTTTTACACAACTGTTTCTTTAGAAACACCGACGCAGCTCACACTAGTTTACCGCTAGTTTTCACCATTCTAACATAAAATAGAACCAGTAGGCAATAAAAGTAGAGTTTGCTTACTTGAATCTATACACTTGGGTAGCCTCCATCACGGGCAACACTTCATTTTGCTCCTTTCGGTTCCCTCTGGTAACCTCTTAGCCTGTGAAAATCCCTTCCCACCCCTCCCCCCCTGGGAAAAATTCGGGGATTTGTTGTGAGGGGTGGGAATCGGATGTACACAGGCCAGCAACCTCTTGGCTGAAAGGGGAGCCTTGGGCCCCGCCAAGAAATGAAGGGGTTTCTTCTTTTATTTGGGGAGGGGAGTAGCAGTCTCTCTTGGTCATATTGAGGAAGCAGTTATGTAAAAAGATAAATATAACACCGTAAAAAATAGGTGAAATAACTTACTGACGTTCTGGGACGTTTATCCTTCATTGGAGTAAAGACGACGAAGGATTAACTTCCGAAACGTAAGTTATTTCACTTATTTTTTTACAGTGCTAAATTTATCTTTTTACATAACTGTTTCTTTAGAAACACCGATGCAGCTCACACTAGTTTACTGCTAGTTCCCTCCATATTGAGGAAGACAGGAAGCCCAAGAATAGAAAGAAGAGCAGAAAAGAATGGAAGATGCCTGTGGAGGAGACTCACACTTGGGCAGACTAGTTCAAATTTTTAACATGCTTACCAGTTTACTAAGTGTTGAGATAAACCTCTAGGATTTTCCTGCATTAAAAGTGTGTAAGAATGTTGAGTTTGTATTGAATTAAAGGGGCTGAAAAGATGGCAGCTGTCCTGGATCGGGGTGTGAAGATAGCCAAGCCTTTGCATCAAAGTGAGACAGAAGTTGAGCTTGCAATGATAGATACCTGTGAATAATTGTCTTCTAAGAAAAACAAAAAGAAATAAACAAAACAAAACAAAAAAAANATGAAAGGATAAAGGCCTCCTCTTCCCTAAGAATAAATGAGATGATAAGATTCATGGATGGAATAGGAAAGAGATGGAGGGAGTGAGGGATAGATAAATGAATGCATTGAGGGATGAATGGATGAATGGGTGGGAATTCATGGAAATTCTCAGAAACAAAAAGTACACAATGGAATGAGTCTAAAATCCAGGACAAGCTGACAGTTTTAGGTAGAATAGAATGAATGAGATACCAAATATATTCATTCTAGTTGATTCAACATCGAATTGAATAGCAGATTAAGTGAGAGCAATATTTCGGTTTTATWTCAAAACMATCRTCAGGCTAAAAGTGTACAAAACGCAAAGACAATACAATAAGTACTGGAATGAGTCTAATTATTTAAGGAGAATGAGAAGAAATTGTAAAGTTTGGAATGAAATAYGGGAATAAGCTWRCAAASAAAGGCAAGTGATCTCTTACTTTTAAAAGAGTCGCAGCAGCCCCGCCCATTAGTAGCAAAGGAGACTCAGCCATTTGGGCATTTTTGACAGCAGTCACRGTGTTTGTCAAACCTGTYAATCAAAATGAAATTGATYAAGGATGATAATAGAAGATAAGAAAGGGGCCATGCACTACTGTAAAGAAATTATGTTCAGAAATTGAACCCGTCAAAATAATTTGAGAGAATATTTTTTATTTCATAATTGATGACATAATTCATAAAACTAATTACCAGGTCCTGCAGTCACWGCAGCAACTCCTACTACACCAGATAACCTTGCAACAGCATCAGCAGCAAACACTGCAGTTACCTACAGTAGGAAACAAAATCTAATATAAAGAAGTGAGCTATTCATAACCTTAACTCCTCTCGCAGCCGTAACGAGGCTCGTTCCTAGGTCACTCTGCAAAGACCTGGGAACGAACCTTGTTATGGCTGCGAGAGGAGAATATTCATAACCAAATATTTTGATGACTACAAAGAAGATTTTGAAAAAATAGAATTGTAAAATTGACTATTTGGTTCGGCGCAACGTAAAATTCATTTAAAAGAATTGCAAAATTCACAAACCTCATGCCTGGTATCAATGACTCTTATTCCAAGGTTTTGACTGGCTACAAGAATAGGAGAAATATGTCCTCCCACTAAAGTAAACATGTACTTCACACCATGAACCTGAAATAATATTTAACAATTAGACCTCNTGGAATGTTCGTCAAGCTGAAATTAAAATCAATATTCTGGACTGATGCTAATTAAAGGGTGGCCAGAGGTTAGGGTTACAGCGGTGCAGCCTTCTCCGCCCCTTTTGAGATCAAGAGACCTAGATTTCTATTTTCTTTTCAATTATTGCATGGTGAGCTCATAAAAGCCTCTATGCCATTACACTTAAAGTATGTGTGACTTAGTACTGTTAATAAACTATGATGGAGCCCCCTTACCAAAAAAAAAACCCTCTGCTGATTCATCAGTCAAATCACACACCTCAAAATACAAGTTTATTTAAAGAACGAGACATTTTTATGAAAAATCTGTTCTTTTGTAGCTTGTAAAAGAGTAAGAATCAAATCATTCAGATCTAACATGAATCATAATTATCTGCACGCTATTGTCACATGACATGTAAGCTTAATATCTTCAGAGGGCACACGACAAAAACAAGAACTTTGAAAACAGCTGAACTATTGACAAAAAACAATAAACAACTCTATTACCTTATAAAGGAACTTATAATGAATTCTTAGCTTGAAGAACGCAGCTACTAGTGCTATTATTCCAATGACAGAGAAGCAAAATGATGTTATTAGCACAACTTCCAAAGTCTTGTCCGCCATGTTGATAAACAAGTTTTTGACCCTCCCCTCCCACAACAAAATCTAGAGAAGGGGCTAGTGACTAGTTTCAGTCTTTTGTAAAATTTCACGTCCAATATGGCGGACGAAACGTGTTTTTAGCACAATTTTTTGTCAGACGCAAACTTATCACGATTTTTGGCAGAATGAAAGACAAAATAGCTGAAATAGATGTTCAGAAAGCTCTTATCAAACAGCTCAAAGAAAAAGGTAACTCAAAATGTTTGAAAAAAACTCTAGATGAAAGAGGACTGTACCATTTGTGTTCATATTAAGTTACTTAATTAAGCTTAAGATTTATGATGTCCATGTTGCACCTTACATTTCAGATTCTTTCTCTGTTATAAAGAAGAAAAAGGTATTTGTAATTGTATCATATAACTTCTTATTGTTAAGAAATAATTGTTTGAAGGACGCTTTTCTTATTGTTTTTATAGAATGTTGGTTTTGTGATCTTGAACCATAGTTATAAAGGTGTTCGCATCTTACTTACTTTATATCTTAATTACATTACACAAATTCCAGCGTGCTTAACGCTAATTATGATTGCATRATTGCTGGGTGTTTTKCTCTGGTCAATCAAAACTACAGTTAAGTTTGCAAATATTCTAACCACTCAGCTTTATATTTCAATTAATGATACTGTTAACAGAAAAATACTGAAGCGAGTTTCAAGTTAAAGAAAAGAAAGTCATTAGATGAGAAAGATGATAGTATGACATTAGTGAGTAGAAATCAAACTTCAATTTCTAATTGCAAAAGACAATTCTTGCCTTACGGACACCCCGCTACAACTGACACCTTGATATTGCAGACAGTAAAATACTGAATCCCCGACAAAAAATTCAAAGAAATGACTGAAAGTAACTCTCGTTACTGTGGACACTAAATTATGGTCCCTAGGGTGTCCGTTATAGCTAGAGTTGACTTTAATTCAGAGCCACTAGAATGCTTGTTTCTAAAACCCAAATACTTACATGTATRAATTMTTTTTCAGGATAAACCTGATGTGCCCAAGAAAAAACACAAAGCTAACAAGCAAGATAATAGTAAGTTAATCTTTTTTTCAAATGCCATTAGCTTTCTGCTGTTTATTTCATCTTCATGTTCTTAATTTGTTACACATTAAGATAATATGTTGCATAAAAATATGTAATTTCTGCAGGTGTACAAAGACCACTTAGGCCTCCCCCCAAAGTCGTTGAGTTTGAGGAGCGTGGAAAGTCAAAGCAAGAAAATAGCCAGAAAAATAAGGTAAGGGATAATTTTGGGAAAGTACACTATTTATTGGTCAATGAGTGGTGGGTTTGGTCTAAAACAAATGGATACGAGGCAGGAAAATAACAGGCAACTCTTCCTGGTCAAAATGGCCTGGTCATTGCTTTTTGTTTTGCACTGTAAAGGGAGCACCGTGTTTCCATACTGATGTTCTGTATAATATAATGTAATATTTCAAAAATTGTCCTAAATCACACCAAATTTAAAGTGCTACTTGCATGAAAATGGCCTTATTTCAAAACTTCAAGCAATACAAATATAAAGCCCTTTGCAGAAATTATGACAATTGTCTAAATATCATAATATCCATATCCAAATATTGTCCGGAACACGCGGGTTTGCTAGAATAATTCATTGTTGACATCAAGAAAATGTTCAGAACTACGGATAAGTCCGTCGCCAAAAAAAACTAAACTACAAAGACAAGGGACTAAGGGCATCGCGCGGGATTACCCATCATGCACTCGATATTATGATATTTAGATATTTCAACAATTCTCATAATTTTTGCAAAAGGCTGTATGACTCACATATATCTATTAAAAACAATTTGGGGAAAATATTTGTTTTGGAATTGTCCCACGTCAG